GTTAATGTGATTATTTTAATGTTTCTGTGGTCAGTTCATTTATTAAAAACTGATTTAGAATTTTGTATTGGGGGGGGGGCGGGAATATTGCATCACACTACTGTAGCAGTCACACAACCAACATTTTTTCTTAATTCAAAAATCCGTCCATTGTTGTTAATGTGATTATTTTAATGTTTCTGTGGTCAGTTCATTTATTAAAAACTGATTTAGAATTTTGTATTGGGGGGGGGGCGGGTATATTGCATCACCCTACTGTACATATTAAGAGACTGTATAAAGGAAAAGCTAAATATCCTAAATTACCCTCTAAATATCAAACTCACTATATGTTGAATGGTAATGTTGCAAAGCCATTGTACCAGCAGGATGCAGTATGAACTCACCCTACATTTCCTTCTGAATTAGTATGCTGCTTGAATGTGGGTGAATCATGATTTTAATAAACTTCCCATTGTCATAATAACTGCCAAAAACACTTCCTTCAGTGGGGTGGCCATTAGAATATTCTGTATATGAACAGACTGTTAAAAGCTGGGCATAGCTTTTAGACACTCAATCATTACTTTCTGAGGACTGTGGCCTCAGAAAGTCAGAAGTCTGAAAAGATTCACAGCAAAGCTGGAGGAAAATTCTGCAGTCAATCCCACGTCTTATGTTACACAGTACTAATTAAGTGAACTGCTCATACAGGAGAATGTTTGTTCTACCAAGATAGTGAGACTTCAAATAACCAGTGATTGCTCAGATATCTCACCCCGCCAGAGTGATGAGTCTTCTAAAGATGGAGCCAAGCAGCCATATACCTCTAGATGAAACTGGCATAATTAAATTACACTCAAAATATCATCTACAAACAGTGTCGCAATATATTTTGAGATCATTTTGACCAGGGGCGATATACAGTGGGTACGGAAAGTATTCAGACCCCCTTAAATTTTTCACTCTTTGTTATATTGCAGCCATTTGCTAAAATCATTTAAGTTAATTTTTTTTCCTCATTAGGGGTCTGAATAATTTCCGTACCCACTGTATAATATATATATACTATTTTTTTTCTCTAGACACATAAAAAAAATCTTTTCACCCTGAAAATGGCAGAAAGCAATGGAATGGTCAAAGACATCCATCACATGTTCACATAGGAAACAATTCAGTGTGAATGGCCGCTTATTCACAGGAATTTTTTAAGGATACATTTCAAAATGTAGTGTTTTGTTTCAGTTGTTTGTAGTTGATCATCTACTTCATCCAGCACAGTTTGGTCTCTGTGTTCTTGTTTGTTTTACTGACTCAGAAACCACTTCAGATGATTCATCATAGGCGGTGAACCAACTCCAGGGTATAAGGATAACAGTAGCCTAATGTTAGTGTAATCTATTAACTACGCACATCATAAACATATCTTTTTAAGCAAGTACCAGATATGGGTGTCATGTCATAAAATACTTAAATATGACTGAATTTATATTTAACGTGATCACGATTTAATAAAAACATTGTAAGTTACTAAAGTATTTCATTACTTTGTTTAATTTCCATTTTTATTCAAACAGCGAATAAATTATGTACCAAAAGCAAGCAAAGAACATTTACATAATCACTTTATCACTGATAATAACTCCTGTTATTATAAATGAAGCTGTCTACATTGTCAAATGAGTCTCTTACTTACATCGCACATACATCTGCACTTTGTTGTTTATGATGAGAGAATTTGCGCAAGCAGCCATATACCTCTAGATGAAACTGGCATAATTAAATTACACTCAAAATATCATCTACAAACAGTGTCGCAATATATTGAGATCATTTTGACCAGGGGCGATATATATAATATATATATACTATTTTTTTTCTCTAGACACATAAAAAAAATCTTTTGACCCTGAAAATGGCAGAAAGCAATGGAATGGTCAAAGACATCCATCACATGTTCACATAGGAAACAATTCAGTGTGAATGGCCGCTTATTCACAGGAATTTTTTAAGGATACATTTCAAAATGTAGTGTTTTGTTTCAGTTGTTTGTAGTTGATCATCTACTTCATCCAGCACAGTTTGGTCTCTGTGTTCTTGTTTGTTTTACTGACTCAGAAACCACTTCAGATGATTCATCATAGGCGGTGAACCAACTCCAGGGTATAAGGATAACAGTAGCCTAATGTTAGTGTAATCTATTAACTACGCACATCATAAACATATCTTTTTAAGCAAGTACCAGATATGGGTGTCATGTCATAAAATACTTAAATATGACTGAATTTATATTTAACGTGATCACGATTTAATAAAAACATTGTAAGTTACTAAAGTATTTCATTACTTTGTTTAATTTCCATTTTTATTCAAACAGCGAATAAATTATGTACCAAAAGCAAGCAAAGAACATTTACATAATCACTTTATCACTGATAATAACTCCTGTTATTATAAATGAAGCTGTCTACATTGTCAAATGAGTCTCTTACTTACATCGCACATACATCTGCACTTTGTTGTTTATGATGAGAGAATTTGCGAGAGTGCAGAATTCAGTCAGCGAGTGCACGCACTGAACAAAACTCTGGCGCTTTAGTGATGACTTATATGAATGCTTCTGATTGGCTATTGCATTCATAAACTCAACAGAATAGTGTGTGATTGGTTATACTGCACAATGCTGTAAACCACGTAAAAAGAAATATGATGCAATATGAGTAGATCTAAATGTAATGCCGCAAACAATTACATTTTCATTTCATTTTCACTTTATTCGCGACAGCCGTAATAGATTTAGTTTAATTGTGCAGGGGCTTTTTTGTTCAATTTGGTGGCATTTTTGCCTCAAGCCCCTGTTAATTTCAGATCCGTGGCCATGATTTAATCACAAATATTTGGTGGCATTTTTGCCTCAAGCCCCCTGTTAATTTCAGATCCGTGGCCATGATTTAATCACAAATTATTGACATCGCTGGTTCATTCGACAGAAATACGGGACACAAATAGATAATAACTGCTACAATACTCGCAGGGAAAACGTTTCTCAGATCAATCAGAGCACTCATGGTATGCACAGTGTGTACAGCCTGCAGGTGCCACTGATTTCGACCATTCTGTTCAGGTGGACACCTGACGAAATATACATGACAGTCAGATTAAAGTGCCATTTACAAAATTCCTGACACAAATGGTGAAGGTCATACGACACTTTCATAAACAGGGTTGGTGCTACATGATGGCTTTGCCAGACCAATGCACTCCTTCTGCCTAAATTATATATTTCACCAGACTATGCCAACAGACTGGGGAAATTGATATCACCCCCCTTTTCTCAGATTGGGTCAGTTTTGTGACAGGGTTGGCTTACCTATGCTCAGATTCAAAGACAGGTCAACTCAAATAGATATTTTCAAATTTAAGAAGCCATTTATCCTATGAAAATTACAAATATTGTCAATACTATATGTGTAAAACATCTAGAAAATATTTAGATTCTATTAACTCTGTCCCTGCCATTGACAGGATTTTCCATCATTCCTTGCGTTATTCCAGCAATTTGTGTTTTATTCTGTTATATGATAGGGAGAGCTATTACAGTCCTTCTAGTACAGCATCTTCGGATCCAAAAACAAGCAAAGACGAAAATCTGTGTAAAGCAGAAAGAGTGGATGGAACCGGATTACTATTCCATTCTTCATTATTCTAGCTGCGGTGGTCAGCCGGCTTTGAAGTAAATGCTCTGAGCCCCGAGGTGACTGGACAGCCAGCTAAGGGTATATGAGCTTTTAATATAAGATAACATGATCACAAATCATTCAACAGCATTTAAATAAATACTGCTGAAGTTGATCAAATCAAAATCTTTGATGGACTCTATTTCTGTTCATAAAATGTTTTGATCATTGTTCAGGAACTTAATTTTCATCGGCAGGGGGAGGGTTAAGTTGACACTATTTTTTTTTTCCTATTCAGCATTAGAGTACTAATTAGATGCATAAACTAGACAGTCTTTATTAAGCAAAATGAAACCGTAATGAGAAATTCTGTATATTTAAAGCATATGCATATGCAATGTATACCGTATTGGCCCGAATATAAGACGATCCTGATTATAAGACGACGCATGTAAGGATATACATTTATCCAGTCATTTGTATTTCTCACTTCCAGTTTCATGGATATCACATGGGGACGAGTCCAAAGACCATTACTAGCTGATAAATTTGCTTCCACCAAAGCACCACCACATTATCAGTCTGTACACAAACTTTGCAGCCTTTTAAATCAATAAACAGTGTTCAGCCTTTGAAATACTTTCAATGCAATTACCAGAAGGCATTAGTAATCCCTTCAAAAGCAGACCTCCGTTCTTGAAAACACCATGGAGAAATCTGTCAGGAAGGTCTGTTTTTCCCTGAGGTTTATTTCATTAAGACAAAACATGGGACTGCGCTGATCAGACTCATTTTAATACTTTTGTTTGTTCACGTGTTTCATTTGTGCTGTTCCTTTGACATTACATAGACCAGATGGGCTTTCTCTCTACTCTTATCATTCACATGCACAATAACATTAGAAGGAATAATAGACAAAACTAGAGGTGACATGAAAATGGAAGGAAATGGAAAGAAAAAAGACAGATGGATGCGTTGCATAAATCTTTGTTCATGGTAGTAGGTCCCCCCCTCCCCTCCCCTCCCTCACATAATTTGTAACATTGCTTGTTTAAACACAACAAGCCAATTAAATCTTGTTTTTAAATCAGGGACAGAGATAAAGCTCTTGTTTAAGCAAGCTGAGTGCTGACTTTAAACATCTTTCACAGATCATTTCCTTTTTCAATTTATTTGTGGACAGTTGTGAAAATACACTGTTCAAAATGAAGGAGTAATCAGCCAATCATAGGATTATGTTCCTATATTTTGTTGTTTTTATATTTTTTATAGTACTTTTCATCCGATTTACTTTTGCATGTGGACAAAACAAATGAATACCCACTCATAGATTGTAGTGCTTACCTCACATATTGGAACGCTCTTGTCTGAGACCCTGAACCATAGACCTGAAAAAGTTGCAGGAGAAACAAACAGAACCACAATCAGTCATCAGAGCACATGTAAGGAGCTTCTACAAGGTGACTGAGGAACAGTCAATAAGTATGAAAACTCCTCAAGTCAGCTGAAGTGTTTACAATAATTGTTTTTTTTCTCTCCCCTGAAGGTAGGGCTGGGTGATATAGCTAAAAAAAAATGTATCACGATATAATGATTCATTTCATTCGGTATCAATAATTATAAAAAAGCAGTAGAAAAAAGGTTTAAATTTAACCACTGTATACCACTGTAACTAAACAAAAACCTCCTTTCATATATTTTATATGCAGACAAATAACTGTTGAGGAAACTTTTGGCTTGTCTCCTGAGGCCACAGGAGGGTGCAATTAGCAAAATAATGCACCGCATTAAATTGTTTATTCAATGCAATGAAATAACGACTGTCTATAAAAAATTTAAAATAACATTTAAAGATCAAATATAATTTCATAAATTGTATGAACAATTATGAACAAAACAGCATCATGTATTTATGCATAGCTTAATACAGCCGAAGTGCCGATCACACAGATTGCATTTAATAAAACCCCCACAAATTCTCAAGACATGTTTTCTAAAAGTTGAACCTCTTTTAACTTTACATGGCTTTCTATTCATCTCTTGTGTGAGACGCGAGTGCAACAGTCATAGTTTTCAGTCTCAAAAATGCGCAGAATATGCGTTCTGTGTGAATGGTTTGTTTCGGTTTTAACCTAACCAAGATCTTCTCCGCAGTGAGCTTCTATATTTCTCTAATATTTCTAATGAAAAATGCAGCAGCGGAGCATCTTGTGGGTTTAACTGAATAGACTAACAAAAACATTAAAGCCTAGTTCAAACTACACGACTTTTGTCACCCAATGACTCTATCCCGTCCCCAAACCACGTTTTGTGACAAAAACACACGTGAGAAAAGGAATGGAAATTTATGCGAAAAGACACGTGAAATAAGAGTTGTTTATTTTAAAATGGACGTTGGGAAGAAATTAGCGCTGCAATCTGAAAAATTTCGCTCCATTTCTTGTGTCCACACTTTTCTTAAAGCCACGTTGCTGCTGCTGTTTTTCTTCCCATGACCTCAACCCATGCCTTGCTCTCTCACTGGATGTAGCTCATCGCGACACCTGACACCACGTGATGTCGAGTCGGCCAACAGGTCCAGATATTTAGCATGCAAGATATTAGTTTGCCATCGGCGAGGTGTCAGCGAGCGTCGTTGAGTAGTTCACATATAAAGATTGCCGAGCGCTGATCACCTGCTGATTTGCCCCCGATCACAGACAGACCTGTTGACGAGCTCGTAGACTTGCAAATCGGACTTAAATCGGGTTTAAAATCCTGTAGTGTGAAGTTGGCATAACACACAACAACGACACTTACATCATCATCACCGCATCTTGTGCGCCACTGATAAGGCTCCCTGACGTACAGCTAAAATTCAAATGCACCGTTTTTAAATTCGACTAATATATTTTTTTTTCAAATCTCCTCATCGCAGGCAGGCACAGCACTCATTTCAGCATGTGTTCGTGTGT